TGAAATGAACAATTTTGTGCATTTTGAAAACTTGCATCTGCAATCGAAACGACTCCTCCATTGGCAGGTAAATTTACTTTCTGATGAGGTGGAGTAAATGCGAACGATGATGTACTTGGTAATACATCCGTGGAAGTGGTCGCGATTTTCTTTTCCCCCATTAGCAGTTTGCAAACTTTCTTCTTTTTCTCAATAGATTCTTCTATGTAACCTTCGGCCACTGTGGACGACCTAAATAATTATTGTTGTTTAGAACAAGATCGGAAAATATTAAAATTTTTACCTCCAACCTCCTAGGCGTTTCAGCGATGTAAAATCCACATCTGCATCTGCAGCAAGAGTAGCAGAACTACGTCGGAAACAATGACCTGTATATTCGTTTGGGTTCGACAACTTTAAAAATGCTGCTACAATCGATGGCATCTTCCCAAATGAATGAATGCCGACTCGTTGCACGGTGCATTTTCCTTTACGATAAGAGATGAAGACATAATCATGTGGTACATTTTTTGGCCTAAGACAAGCATATTTTCTATACAACTCAACTGGATTGACAACGTTCCCTTCGTTCACCACCGGAAACACTCTTTTGATATTAGTTTTTGTATCCGCAAGGGTAACTAAAAGGCAGCTGTTGTCTTTTTCTATGATGTCTTGCACTCGTAGAGAGTACAATTCTTCTCTTCTACATGCTCACAAAGGCCAATGACAAGAGCTACCTAAAAATCAAATACAATGGAATAAGAAACCATCTATATATTTTAAAATCATTATCGCAAACTTACCTTAGTAAGTAAATAAGTTTCATCACTAGCCGTGGCCAAAAAATCACCGATCTCTTTTATGGACAAACCTTAGACTTTTTAGGCTCGTAACCAACCGAATTCTCTTCTTCAAAAGCAATAAGTTTTGGAAATTTGTCAATATAAATATCTTCTTTAACACTTAACACTGCTCTCAGCATGGAATATTTCGACCAAATTGACGATGGTTTGAATGTTTGTGACTGTAATTTAAGAATATTTTAATTTAAAAGCCTCTTTTAAATAGGTACCTAGGTACTTACTTTTTCGTGGAAATAATTTAGCAATACATCTTCATTTACAACGAATACGCCATTTTTGTCTTTCCATTCATTAAAAAACATCATATTCTTTCTGGTAAATGGCACGAGACTTCACAGGAAGTAAATCCAACACGATTTCTTTGGCCTTATTAGCAATATGTTCGGGATTTTGGAACATTTTAAAATTGTTGATGAATTTGTGTGATTTTGTGACAAATTTCGAATGACATGTCAAAATGCGATGAAATAAACAAACTCGTTACTAAGATATGAATTTATAAGCCAACTTTTTCAAACATTATAATTTCAAATATGGAAAATTTGCAAATATGCGTTCTAAAAACTGTAAAAAAGCGTATGACAAAATAGTGTATGTAACACGTACCTAAATTATGTTTTTTAGGACTCATCTACTATTTCGGACTCGGCTAACGCCTCGTCCGCAAACAGTAATGATTCGTCCTAAAAAACATCATTTTAGGTACTAGTTACATAAATAGCTATACTGGGTAGAAGAAAACGATGTTTCTACGCATAATATTTTGCTTTTGAAAGTAGTTATGCTGGAAGCGCCTCGGGTCGCCTCGGCGAGTGTGTACTTCCAGCATAAAGGATAAGGCTGTTGAGGCAGCAAAATCGATAAGTATATATGCAGATAAAAATCGATTATTTTTTTTATTTTAAATATTAAGTTTAACCGTTTTCAAATTTTATCAATGCTATATCAGTACTGACATGCTGGAAGTACACACTCGCCGAGGCAACCCGAGGCGCGACAAAAAAGGACAGTCTTAACCAATAATAATGTACAAATCGTTAATTTTTGTCGTGCCTCGGGTCGCCCCGGCGGCGGCGCGGCGATTGTATTCTTCTAGCATTAGAAGTTAATTGAGGAAGATATGTGTATAGACGATAATTAAATATTTTTCAGAATGGATAGATTTTTTGGATTATGTACCGTTCCCAAAAATTGGTTCAAAAATTAGGAAAAAAAAATAAAAAGTAGATTTTTATTTTATATATGGAAAACAACATTCTTGTTAATAATATATGAAGGGTATAGGGGAAAAACCTGATAGCCCCAGATTTTTAATAAAAAATATTTCAATGATAACCCATATGCCATAACCCTGATGAATTTATCGACACTTTTTTAGCATTAATCTAGCAATCTTTACGTGAAGAATCTCCCCACGAGAGATGGCACATGTTTTTTGAAACATCCTATATAAATTCGTTCTCTATTTGATTTGTATTGTATATTATTTTTTTATAAAATCTATTATTTCGAAATTGTCTAAACTAAATGATATAAATATATCTCACTTAAGTACACGATTGTCAAAATGATGCAACAAATAGTATGTCTAAATTTCCCTAGATAGTTGTAGCAATGTTAGGATTATATGGTGCAATTTGTCGCTTTTATTTTATGTTTTCTTGCTAAACTTCACATATATATGTCTTCTCCCGGAATATATTTATAAAACAATTTTGTCAGCAGATTATTTGGAGCTTTTGAATAAATGCAATATAAATAGGCAAATATTTAAGTGTGTTTATTTTTGTCATTTTTGATTCGAAACTTTTACTAACAATCTTTTATATTATTAAAATTAAAATATTCTTCATAATAATATATTATCCTATATACAGGGTGAGTCTTAAATAAGTGCAAATATTTTAGGGGTACTATATTTCGACACCAAAAACGCGGTAACGAGGTTTTTTCGCGAAAAAAAAATTTTGAAAATTTGGGATTTTCTGAAAAAAAATTTGCAAAATTTTTTTAGTTGTTTAGCAAAAAATCATCTTTTTTGGAAATCTTCAAAGTAAAATAACTCAGTTATTTTGGATTTATTTGAAAAACGGTAAAGAGAAAATAATGTTTCTTTTATCGAGATCTACCAATCCTGAAAATATTTGCATTTGCAAAAAAACATTGCACGCTCCGCGCCGCGCAAATCGTTTTTTTAACGTGTACTTTTAAAGTGTATTTTTTTAGCGCGCACAAAAGTATATGTTAAAAAAATGATTTGCACGGAGCGGCGCATCCGGTGTGAACGCACCTTACGCACAGAAGACTAATTCTGTATATATAAATAAATAATATTCTATCAAAAATATAGAATATAAAAAATGCTAAGTTGCGCAACCCAATTCTTTCATTACAAAAAGTTGTCAGTTTATAACATTATTTAGTTTCTATCAAAGCGCCTATTCAGCAAGTTTATTATAAATTGCTAGTATCAATATTAGACATCTCAATATTTCTGTAATAATTATAATAACTTGACAAAAATAATATTTTTAAGTTATTAAAAATTAAAAGCCGTAGAATAATTAAATTTTATGGGAGAATTATTACTATAGAAGCAGATTATCTGCAATTTTTCCACTTTTTCAATATGGGTGAATGCTTTTCCTGTTACTCTCTTGTTACCGCCTTTTGTTAAGTAACTTTAAATGAAAACTTAGGAAATAATTTGTAATAAATAAATAATGCGTTATAATGCTCCTAATGTTGTGTTATCTATTCATCAGCCCCAGATAATTTAAATACAATATATTATGATTTAATGATTAACAGAAATCTGAAAAAATCTCAAAATATCCGTATGGATTTAAAGTTAGGTGTCTAGCCGTTACCGGTAACTGATTTTTCAGTCGGCAAAAAGTTAGAAAACTAGAGTTGATCGATTTAATATTGTCTGATTTTATTTATATATAAATGTAAAAACAATAATTCAAAGTTTATGAATTATCGCTAGTCAAACTTTATGTTTTATAAATATTATTTTGAAAAATATACAGGGTGAGTCTTAAATAAATGCAAATAATTTCGGGGCTAGTAGATCTCGATAAAAGAAACATATTTTCCCTTTACCATTTTTCAGATAAGTCCAAAATAATCGAGTTATTTAAGTTTGAAAATTTAAAAAAAAATGTTTTTTTTTGAAAAATTTTTACAGCCACCGGATTTTTTCTGTAATTGCATCCCTTTTAGTGCCGTAACCATAGAGTAAAGCCGTAACTATGGTAATATCAGAGATTAAGAAATTATACCGTGGGAAAATTTGCGGTGAACAGGCAGTTCTAAAAAGTTTCGCAAAAATATACAGGGAAATTTAAAAGAAAATGCACGATTTTCAACATATTTTATTTGCAAAAAAACCTCATAGACATGTTCCTGGGGTCGAAATATACCACCCCTGAAAATATTTGCACTTATTTAAGACTCACCCTGTATTACCCAAGAAAAAATAAGAGGATGACATACAAAAAGAAATGGGATCCTATCAAAAACATAGAATGTAAAAAAATGCCAAGTCTCGCAATGGAGTTCTTCCACTACAAAAAGTTCTGAGATCTCATCTAAAACCAAGTCAGTTTATTTTATTTAATTTCTATTCAAGCACCTATTCAAGAATTTTGTAATAAATTGTTAGTATCAATATTAAAAAAGCATCTTTATTTTTGTAATGATTATAATAACTTGGCAATAGCAAGGCACCATAATTAAAAAGAATAATCTACCATTTCGATCTAAAGAGTGCACTTAATAAAGTTTTTTAACTAATAGAATCACAATTAAATCGTGCAATTGCCAAGTCATTATAATTCTTACAGAATTAAAGATGTCTAATATTGATACTAACAATTTAGAACAAAATTCTTGAATAAGAGCGTCAATAGAAACTAAATAAAATAAACTGACTTGGTTTTACATGAGATCTTACAACTTTTTGTAGTGGAAGAATTGCGGTGCATTTTTTATATTCTATGTTTTTGATAGTATTATAAATTCTGTAATTTTATTTTTAAATATTTTTTTATTTGCATGCTATGAAAAATTTAAAAATCTAGTATCAAAAAAAATGTAATACATGGTGTTAAATTATTTTACACACAAGATCGACAATTCCAAACTTACCTCTTCGCAAGTAGACGGCAACTCTACGACAAACTGTTGGACGCGCTCGCAACTTTCGAAGTTTTGGGCTGGCCGCCAACGGGAGGAAGTACACGCATGCGTTCTGCGCCTTCTACCAGTGAAGAAGTTGCGTGAAGACGTCCTTACCTCAATAACATACAGGGTGACCTAGGTTTCCAAAAAAGCTCTATATTATACAGGATATTGGTTTGTGATTTTCATTTCAATTTTTTTTCGTAATGTAGGGGCAATGGTAACGCACATTTTGAAAATATTTTTGTCAATTTTTAAATAGAGTACTATATATATTTTTAGCTCAGTGTATTTGCCATTAAATTTCTATTTCAAAAATACCATAATGTAATTTTTGAAATATAACCGTTTTTAAACTAAAATTACTCTTTATTTGAAGCTATCTCAAGAATTTAACATTTTTCAGCCGGGGGTACTATATAATAGTGTCTTCTTTAAAATTCAGCCTATCAATATTTATACATAAATACTGATGCCATTACTCGCTGACGAGTATTTGACACGCATCAGAAGACGTTTTCTTTCATGAGCTGTTCTGTGACTAAAAAGCTCGATACGCGATTTTATCTCTCTTCCGCACTCCGGACATTCAAAAATATCATTGCTTTGTTGCCTCTTTTCTTTTTGGTTGTCGCTGTTAACTGAGTTTACAATTCTTCTCCATTGCATTCTATTGTGCGCTGCTTCTTCCCACTCATTCTGCATGTTTATCCCCTTTAGGTTTTCGTGGAAAATATTCTTGTACCTGTTGAGTTGTCCACCTGGTTTTTTCTTATCATCTACAAGCTCACCGTATAGCTGATATTTTGGTAGGCGGTTTTCTTGCATTCTGTATACGTAACCAGCCCATCTTAAGCGGGATTTTGTAATCATGACTTCAACGCTCTCGAAGATAGCTTTTTCAAGGATCGATACGTTTGAGACATGGTGGAACTATTTCATTCTAAAGAGTTGTCTAAGGTGCCTCTGTTGCAACTTGTTTAATGCGTTCATGTGTCGGCGGTACGGCACCCACAGGGGCGCTATTCTGTACTATCGTCGGTATCGGCAAGTTACCGACAGCTATCGGTACGTACGGCCAATGAGCGTCGTGTTGATTGTTGTTGTCATAGTTACCGATCGGCCCTATGACAGATATCGCAAATTTGTACCGACGACTCTCGGTATCTCTACCGTGAGGTTGACAAGGGCATGGTAGAGATACCGATTTTCGTCTTTTTTTTCGTCGGTTTTACAGAATAGCGCCCAGGGGCGCTATTCTGTACAATCGTCGGTATCAGTAAGTTACCGACAGCTCTCGATACGTATTTGTATACAGTAAAAATGTGTTAATTGTTGTTGTCATAGTTACCGATCGGTCCTATGGCAGATATCGCAAATTTGTGATATGTGCCGTGCCCTTGTTAACCTCACGGTAGAGATACCGAGAGTCGTCGGTACAAATTTGCTATATGTCTTATTAACGACAGCTAAAACTATGACAACAACAATCAACACGACGCTCATTGGCCGTACGTACCGATAGCTGTCGGTAACTTGCCGATACCGACGATTGTACAGAATAGCGCCCCAGGTTTCGCTTCCATATAACATGGTGGGGATTATTATTGCTCGGTACACTGCAAGTTTCGTTTTTGTGCTCAAGTCATGATTGTAGAAAACCCTGTCTTTTAATTTCCAGAATGCTCTTAAGGTTCTGCGAATCCTCAACCTATCAATTTTTGCAATCTTGTTTAATATACACAGGATGGGTTAAAACTAAATATTTTATTTTTCTCCAATATTTTAAATGGGTCACTCTGTATTTCGTATTATAATCGAACGAAGTCTTGTTTAATATTTTTGTGTTACTAAGCACTTCCAATACCTAAAATCTATATTTAACAAGAAAATGTGCTCTTTTGAAAATATGAGACAAGATTTGGCTTCCGCTCTTTCAACAGAAGGCGTTTATTATTATAAATGTCATACCTATCTACAGCAAAGTAGAACAGCTTTTTAATTAACCCAATAATCAATTTTTTACATGACGAATTAATAAATATGATTTATTGTATTCGAGCAGCTGATATTTTTTTATTAGAAAGAATTTAACTAAAATCTTATTTTCCGATGAGGCTACCTTTAAATATAATTAAGGTTAGGGTAAATAAACGTAAAAAATATTTATTATTATATATGTAATAGAAAGCCCACACTGTATACAGGTTGTTAACTGGACAGTTACTTATAGGGAAACCGAATGGCAACACTGCCTATTGAGAACGCATGTACTTATAGGGTTTTCTGCCGACTCGTCCCTATCGACGAGCGGGCCGAGGTTGCCATATTTCAACCATAAAGCTGTTGCCGCGAGTAATAAACAAATTAACAACCTGTATATAAAAACAAGATTGCAAAATTTATTGGTACACTGAACTTTGAAGAAAACACTATTATACAGCATTGTATAAATAAATACTGTATAATACAAAGTACTTCAAATTTAGAATTTTGAGAGAGCTTTAAATAAGCAGTAAATTTAATAAGAACGGTTATATTTGAAAAACCACTCGGCAAAAAAACTATGGTATTTTTGGAATGGATATTTAATGGCATTATTTCCTCTAAGCTAGAAAATATACAGTATTCTATTTTAAAATATGCAACTTTAGTTTGAAAATATGGTTGAATAACCCTGCAGTTGACAAAAATCTTTTCAAAATGTGCGTTACCATTGGCCCCATATTATGCAAAAAAATTGAAATAAACATCACAAACCAAAAACCTAATATAGAGCTTTTTCGAAAACCTGGATCACTCTGTATACTAGCGAAGGCGGGGTGGCAGTAACCTCCCCTATATAATAAACCTAGATTCGGGTTATAGAAAAGTTAAGGCTGCTGGAGGTGTAAGTAATTAACGCTATGTTTATGCATTCTTTTGTTGTGGAACCAGAACTTATGCATGAAAATTCACTGTCGAACAGGTTAATTTAATAAATGAAGTTTAATTCGTAGAAAAGTATTGTATAATTTAACCTCTCGTATTTAATAAACTTTAGTAGTTGGCAAATATAGCTATTTTATCAATTAATACAAGTTTTGTACAACAAAGTTGACATAAAATGAGAAATATCATGCACGTTTTTTTTCTGATTTCAAAAATATATCATAGTTATTTAAATTTGGTGAAAATGTGTAAAAATAGTATACCGGGTGGTGCATCGTCGTTGGAAACATCGAAAATCCTATACAAATTTTGAACTGTCCAATATTAATCCAAGTCGTAAAATGTTTTTTTAAAGGTCTGCGTATGCTGAATACACGTGCTTAATTTGAACAATTTTAGTCCAGCAAGGTTTTTAAGAAAAACTGCGTCATTTTTACATTAAAATTGAATAGGTAACAATGCAAAACCAAGAAAATATCAACATACCTTAAGTTATAAAAAAGGATATTATTTAAGTACTACGAGAATACCTCTGTGGTGGATTCATCTATTCAAGAAAGTTCTAATCTATGTAAAGGGAAAGAGTAAAGAAAACTAAGCCAAGCGTAAGTTTTACTTACGAACCCCCAAAAAGGTTTTAGTTTTTTTTCTATATAAGATCTTGAAACACATATTATATTTTTTAGTTATCCTCACCTATTATAGTTTAAATTTATTACCCATTTGTGTAATGCTGCAAAACATAGAAAAAATATTCCATATTTTTGATCTAAGCCAGTGTAGTTTATAATTCCAAGGGCATTTACCAAAGCTTTTACTAAGACAAGTAACTTCCTATACTGTCCATAATAGTATATATTTATCAAACGTTCAGTAAATTATAAACTATGGTAGGTAAGTGTTTGCAAATGAATATTTAGTTTATATTGCTATTTTCTGTCATATATTTCTGGTGATTTCTTTTTCCGATGATTTTGAACACCCTATATATGCTACCTCAAGTTTGAATATTTTAACAGTACCTATTTTCTGAGAAAGCAGATCTTTTTATAAAAAGTAACTAACTGATGTTTTCATAAAAGTAATAATACAAAAAATGCCATACTTATGTGGAGAACTTTAGACTCCCTGTATATTAAAAAATTAGTGAAATATTACGTAATCTAACTCTCACGTCTACTTGGAAATACGCGCCAAATACAGCACTTCTATTTCCGCCATATTGGAAAAGTTTCAATGGCCTTGTGTGGACGGGGTGGTGACTGTACAAAATAAAATATATAGTTATTTTTTGTAAACACCGCTGCGCTAATCCAACGGAGACCAACTTGTCAGCGATGTTTGACTAATAAATAGTATATTGTTTTATTAGCAGTAAAAATGGGACTTTTTGTGGCGAGGCTGTACATTTGACATACAGTCGAGGCACAAAAAGTAATTTTTACTCCGAATAGAACATGCTATTTTTTTCAAACGCCACAAATAATTTTTTAAACAATTTCAAACATTCGAAAGAATATAAAAAGATTTAAAAGTCATACCTTGTATGTAATTATATATCGGGAAACTATGGTTACCCTTGTTGAATTTGACACTTGATGTCAGTTTAATAATATATTTTCGTACTTTTATGCTTAGGCGTAAAAGTGCTTTACTTTTATGCCTAGGCGTTAAAATGACTGTTTTATTTATTGTCAATCACGTCGCAAATATTAATACTTTTGTAACGTTTGAAAAAAAACAAATTTTCTTAACGGACAAAAAAGTGCTTAACATTTCGGGAAGTATTTCTCTCCTCATCGTCGGAAGCAAAAAAACACAAAGAACACAGGAGTTTTTCTTTTTGTTCTTTGTGTTTTTTTGCTTCCGACGACGAGAAGAGATATACTTCCCGAAACGTTAAACACTTTTTTGTCAGTTAGGCAAATTTGTTTTATTAGTCAAATACCACTGAAAAGTTAATCTCCGTTGGATTAACGGAGCGATGTTTACAAAAAATAATTATTTTATAGATATACAGATTCTACAGGTCCTACAGACTCTACATATTCTACTGTAACGTGAAACGG